CTTATCATGTATCTTTTAGGATAATGGATAAAAGAATGGGATTCACTGATGTTTTCTCCCAGGATTTTCCATTTTATCTGTTTTTGGTTTTGTTTTGGTTTTTTTATTCCTTTCTCTTGAGTTTTTCTTCGTCTTCTTTCAACTAGATCTTACCCTTCAGGAATAGAGTTACGTGTTTGAAGTTTTGGCAAACATCTGTTTGTTCTCTGTCCCTGTGTGTCCCTAGACTCACTTCACTCACCAAAAATATCCTGATTCATAGCCAATGTCCTCGGGCTCACTCTACATTCTTTTGTGAACAAAGTAGCAACTAGCTAAATATGTTCAACCAAGACATGGCATGATGAGACTGAATTACTAGAAGTCAGTGATTCCCTCCTATCCAACATTTTCTTTCCTCCCTATGCCTTTTTCACTAGAGTCTTTGGGGATCAATCATTTCACTTCAACTTGTAATTATTCCACATGTGTCTGTTCTCCTTGTGCCAAGCAGAGGAGACACAAGGAAGGGTAAGGTTCCTCCATGGCTCTGTATTTATCTGAGGAACATAAAACAAATACCCGAGCACTTAAAAAGCTTATTCAAAAGAGCTAAAGTTTAGCAATGATTTCTAGTGAATATATGAAACGCCTTGGTATCACCCTCCAGTGGATAGATGTTGAAGGAACTTAGATTTGGGAGCACAAAGTGAAAGTTAGTAAAGCAATTTGGACTTCGTTCCTATCAGTGGTCTGAGTTAGTAAAATAGTAATTAACTAGTAATAACATCACATTTTCCTTGGAGTCCCAGTGCTACTCAGTTTACAGGTTCACAGATCCATGAAGTGGCCAGAACACAGAGTAGGGCTTCTTTTGTTGGTGACTCTAAGCGAGTTAGATGGTATCTCTCAAGCTCAGTCCTTGGTCTGCAAGGAGGTAGAATCAGATAGGCTGATAACTTAAGCTTAATATGGATACCAGGGGTTAATGAAATTTGTAGGGTGAGAGTAGAGATAAAATCCATATTTTATGATGCATGGGTATTTAGAGAAATGTCATCATTACATAATCTTCTTTATTTTATTATTTTTATGGAGATATCATTGATAACATTAATTTCAGGTGTACAACATAATGATTCGATATTTGTATGTATTGCAAAATGATCACCAGGTTAAGTCTAGTTAACATTTATGGCCACACAGTAACAAATTTTTTTTTTTCTTTTCATGAGAACTTTTAAGATGACTCTCTTAGCAACTTTCAAATATGCAAACAGTATTATTGACTACAGTCAACATGCTGTATATTATATCCCTATGATTTATGTTTTTACATTTAGTTTTTGCTCTGAAAGCAATATTAGTTTACTGTTGTAAGCATGGAAATTTTCATGTTCGTGGAATTTTTTCCCTCTAACTCAAACGTCTGATTTTATTGTGGTAATGTGAAAAGACAAAAAAATAACAATAACATAAAAATGTACATATACATACACCTCAGAGAATCATGTGCAGTTTATAATTTGGACTATTCATTTTAACCTAAACGACTAAATATTTACAGATTATAGGTGATGAATACACATATTTAATTTAAGATTTAGTAACTAAGTCCACACCATATGGAATAATTTCTAGGGCACGTCCCTTTCTCAGAGTTGAACTTGCACGGTTATTTGCATATTTTTGATTTTCTTGGTGAATTTATAGGCATTTTCTTTTGACACAATCCTTTTGTTTCCCCTTTACTTACACACAAAAAAAAGCAGTTTACATGACTTATTTTTTCATTTCACATATATGTATCTTTAAAAGAGTTTCCTTTTTGACTAAAAATGGAAATCCAAGAATGTCTTGGGGGAAATAACCAAGCAACACTTGATGGAAATTACTACCTGCAGGTGTTGTGCAATTTTCTCTGGAATCAAATTATCCAAACCATCCACACTTTAATCTAAATCTTTTATTCACTCCTGACATAGTAATATACTTAAGGTGACAAGATATGGCAGTAATATTTGCACTAAAGATAAATGTCTCATTCTGTACTGAAACACCACTTAGAATTATAATATTGGAGCAATAGAACATGCCAAGATGCAAGTAATTTAAATACATTTTTCCTCCATTGTTTTCAGGACAAAAAGCTAAATGCTGCTTTTAGGCTTTCTTCTCCCTGTCTTACAAAAAATAATCTCTAGGAAAATAATGTTTCCACACTTCTAAGATAGATAATTAGATATCGGTATGGGTATACAAATGATACAAAGTCATTAAGAAATATTTAAAATAAATGCTGGACATTTCAATTTCATTTAAAAATTCTCCAGATACATTTGTCGAATATCAGCCTTTTTAGACGCCTTGCTGCAGCTTGAAAATAAGCCACAGCCAGCACTAAATAAACTTAACCATCTGCTTATCCCTCCTTCACTTTCTGTTAATGAGGTGGATACTTGTGATGCTGAACAAAGTGATTGTATACATGTTAATTTTATTATGTATGCTAAGAGTCCAAATTAGATTACGCACACACACCATGCATGCACGCATGCACACACCCTATAACTAAAAACAGTGTCCACCTTGCCTGACGGAACATTTACAAGAAAGAGCTAGTGTGAAACACTTTATTGTGGCTGCCATCTGCTGGCACATTATAGAAACACAGGCATTAAAATTTTCGGACCTCCTGACATGGTTAAAGTCACTTATGATGTCTTCACTTTATTCCAGAGCCTCCTCGCTGGACAAAGAAACCTCAGAGTGGTGTATATAGCACTGGGAGCAGTGGTATCTTGTTATGTGAGGCAGAAGGAGAGCCTGAGCCCACACTTAAGTGGAGAGTCAATGGCTCCCCGATTGACAGTAAGTGAAACACCAATTGTGATGCGGTGCTGAAGGCAATGGTGTGCTCGGATGGTTGATAGGCAGACACCCTGGTTATGTGTAAGATGGGAGTTGGGAAGTGGCTGGGCCATCTAGACAGATCCAGCCAGGAAGTTCAAAGTTGAATCTTTCCCAGCACTTTGATTTATGCTTCGATTTATGGAGAAGTGATAAATAACATTTGTACTTGTTGGGTCATTATATTAACTCTATATAAAAATTAGGTTAAAAAGATAAAGCAGCTGATTGAGAAAAAGGAGGAAAGCCCATTCCTTTGCTTTTCCCTGAGAAGAAATTGGTGCAGCGACCTAGTGGTTGAGAACATGGGTTGAGAGTCAGAATTGCCCTTAGACCCAAGCAACAGTGACCCCGGCTTTGGGTTCTGCTCTTCACAAGGACCTGGTCTGGCCATCCTTTGGTCATGCCTGCTGTCATTATTTGAGAATTTCACAGGCCAAAGAGAACTGTAAACATGCCCCCTACCCCTGGCTCCCTGCATGTTCTTGACTGAGCTCCATTTGTACCCAAGATCAGAAAAATCCCTGTCTAGTCAGCTCTCAGCCATCCCAAATGGGCTGGGCATGGAAAGGCAGGGATGCACAAGGGCTGAAGCCTGATTCTCCCTACTCTACCATGTTCCAGCAAAGAACTCTGAGAAGTCCAAAAATCCTCAGTTTGAACCTAGAGCTCTTATCATTTTGAATGTCTTTGTCAAAATAGGACAGAACAAATCTTATTTGTCAACTGACTAGTTTAATCTTGAGCATTTCTATTATTGAGACATATATATATGGCTTTCATAAGTTTCTTTTGTCCTGGACCGTTCATACCAAGTGTAGACATATGGTGGTTCAGAGACCTGGGGTCCCATCTAGGCTGTGCACCTTCCCAGGTATATGATCTTGAGTTGTTTACTGAACGTCCCAAAGGTTTAGTTTTGTTGTTGTTGTTTTTTCACAGCACAACAGAGCTAATGATAGTTGGTTGTGATGGAAAGAGGTCATTGTGGTCAACCACCTAGGATAGTCGTTTATCTGTGCAACATTATGATAGTTTATAAACTCTGGGGCCAGAATGCCTGTGTTTGCATCTAGGCTCTACCATTTACTAGTTGTGTGACTGGGCCTATGACTGACACTCTTAAAATCTGCTTCCTCATCAGTAAAATGGGCATGAAAATTGTACCAACTCATGGATTGTTATGTGGATTAAAGGAAAGACCATGCAGAAAATGCTCACGACAGGGACATTCCTGAAGTATTCTTTACTTTTATTGTTGTTACATACCACACACTCAGGAAACCTTAGCCCTCTTTATTGAAATCCTCAAATTTGAGATTTTTTTCCCTCATCTCTTTAGAGAGCAGACTAACAAATGAAAGATAAGGCTTCAGGTAGATCAGAGGGAAATGAGATCAACTGCTGTTTATAAAGAATGTTAAGGATGCTAAAATAAGGAATGCAGATTCTCTGAAACATAAAATCATAAAATTATATATCTGAATGGCACTCGGCTGTTTATGAAAGACATTCATATATTGCTTTGAATCCCCAAATGAACATTTTTAATGGAGGTACGATTATTCATATTTAACAGATCAATTCGTTCATTCAGTAATTTTTATTGAACGCCTTCTTTGTGCCAGAACTGACCGGCCTTATTGCTGGGACGGTAGCAGTGAATAAAATGAACAGTTCCTTTTCCTGTGGACCTGACATTCTAGCGGGGAGAGTCAATTAATAGACACATAAGCACATAAATCTGTGTTGTAGTGTGATAAATAAAAAATAGCTGACTAAGGGATGGGTGTAATACAAGTTCAGGACCGAGAGTGGCTCTTTTATTTTAAGATAATACTAGGAAGCCTCCCGTGGTAATTTACCTGAAAAAAAGAAGAACTGAAAGAGTTTAGGGGGCATCCATATGTGGGAAAGCTTCCAGTGTAGAGAGGTCAGTGAGGGCCAAGACCCTCAGGTATGTTTGGAGTGTTGATGGGAAGCCAGGAGTCCAACGTGGCTGGAGCTGAGCGAGTGGGCAGTGTTCAGACGCAAGATCAATCAGCAGATGCAGGGGCCACGTCATACATAAAGGGGAAAGCTCACCTGGGGACTTGGAATTCTAGTGTAAATAATATGGGCAGCACTTTGAGGATTTTGAGCAGAAGAATGATCTAATCTATTAACAAAGGGCTTTTCTGTCTCTGAATTGAAAATCAGCTGTACGACTACTCCAGCTAGAAGCTGCCTGGAAGACACTGGAACCTAGGGCTAGGTTGATAGTGGTAATGGTTAGGTTCTGGATGTATTCCCAAAGAAGAGTCAATAGGTTTGTTCACAGATGAGGAGATCAAGGCTGAAAATAAACTTAGACAAGACAGCACAGCTGAATAATGGCAGGGATAGAAAACAAAGCCACATCCTTGGAGTTCAAGCTCAGTGTTCCTTCCACAGCTGTCGACCATAGCTCTCCTTGCTCCCCTGCAAATGGGTTATAGCCATTCATTGGTTGGGATGCTCAGTAACAGTGGGATAACTGAATGATCTGAAGTCTCTCTGAGCTTATAATTCTAGCAATTCCATATCCTTTATATGTAGTATTTCAAAATTACACAAAAATGATTACTCTTGGAGTGCCTGAGTACTCAGGCTCAGTTGGTTATGTGTCAGACTCTTGGTTTTGGCTCAGGTCATGATATCACAGTTTCCTGAGTTCAAAGCCCCGGGTCAGGCTCTGTGCTGGCAGCCTGGAGCCTGCTTGGGATTCTCTCTGGATTCCCCTCTCTTTCTGTCCCATCCCCACTCCTGCTGTCTCTCTCAAAATAAATAAATAATCATTAAAAAAGTGATTACTTTTATTGATAACAGGCTTAACCTTTTTCAAATGCTTTGCATCCAATATTTGTGAGCCTCCTAATAAGCCCTGCAGAAGATATATATTTTTTTAATTCTCTCGTTTGCACATGTGGCAACCGAGGCTCAAGGAGGTCACATTACTTGAGGACACAACCCCAGTAAATTTATAGGTTTTTAAAAAATTTTTAATGTTTTTATTTGTTTTTGAGAGAGGGAGTGAGCATGAGTGGGGGAGAGGCAGAGAGAGAGGGAGGCACAGAATCTGAAGCAGGCTCCAGGCTCTGAGCTGTTAGTGCAGAGCCCAACATGGGGCTCTAACTCACAAAAGCAAGTTCATGACCTGAGCCGAAGTCGGACACTTAACCGACTGAGCCACCCAGGTGCCCCAACCCCAGTAAAATTAGAGCTAAACGTGGAACCCAGAAATGATTAAGTCTCAGAGCTGAAGTTGCTCCCAGTGTGTTGCATTATCGCTCACTGAGCTGACCAAAGACAACTTATGGCACACCTAGTGTGTTTTGCTTGATACTGATAGAGAACTGGCTTTCTTGAATCCTGGGAGCTCCTGTTAGCCTTGGCCTGTATGCAGCAGCACGCTGCAGCTTCTGGTACCTATCCCAGAGGATGGCACGAAGCCATGCTCAGCTGTTACTCATCTCAAACCTGAGGCTCTGGTTTCATTTCTTCTTTTTGTAAGGCTGTGTTTGATTCAGGGTTTACCCATGGGAAGATGGTATAAGGAATCTAAAGAGAGTGATGGGCTTAGCTCTGACAGTTGTAGAGCTGGGCATCAGGTATAGGAATGTGGAATCGGTTCAGAGACTCAGTCCTTTGCAGCCTTGAAGAACTTCAGAGAGCTCCTCTTCCTGACAGTTCTCAAGAGGGAAACGACTCTGCAGGATTGTATCGATTTTCTACTGTTGCTCTGCAAATCATCACTAATTTAGTGACTTAAAATAGTATACTTGTATTAGTTTACAATTCCGCAGGTTAGAAGTCCAACTAAGCCTCACTAGGCTGAAATAAAGTTGTCAGCCATGGTGTGTTCCTTTCTGGAGGAACTAGGAGAGAATCCCTTTCCTTGTCTTTTCCAGCTCCTAGAGAGAGCCCACATTCCTTGGCACATGACTCTCCATTTTCAAAGTCAGCGTCGTTGCATATCTGACCACTCTTTGATAGGCATCTCCATTTGTCTGGCCATGGCCAGGGAAGGCTCTCTGATTTTAAGGAGCCTTGTAATTACATTGGCCCCACTTGGATAATCCGGGATAATCCCTCCATCTCAAGGTCCTTAACCTTAATTACCTCTGCAAAGTCGCTTTCACCATGTAAGGTTAAATATTTTTTTTACTGATAGAGATTAGAATGTGGGTATCTGTTGGGGGCTACAATTCTGCCTACCACAGGGACCTTCTAGGAATAAAATGCCACCCAACATAAATGGCTTTCAGTCATTTCGGGAAATATTTCCCGAGTGCCTCCTCTGTGATAGCTGCTTTTCAGGCACTGAGAACACAGTGCATAATGCACAGTCAGAGTCCTGCTTACGTGGAGTCACAGTCAAATGTAAAAATATATTCATTTCTGACTATCAGGAAAAAATGTATAAGGAAAGTCTTCTATTTCAATAAACAATACTCAACATTTTCTACAAACCAAAACTTAGTATAGTCACTATTTTATATAATAGAGACACAATAAGAAAAAAAAATTAGGTTTATGGGTAATCTTGTCATATCATTTAAAGTAAAAAATTTTAACATCTGTGTCCCTCACTTGACATTCCTAGGTAATATGTTTCCTTTACACTGCTTGTTTGTAGTGTCATAGTGGAGCAATGAGATCTGGCATGTGGCCAAATGCTGTAGGAGGTGGCATTCACTTGTCCAGACTCCAGTCCCTTCTTCCACAGTGGCCATATTAGTGCTGACCCCGCAGGTTCTGAGCAGAGTTAAGGAAACAATGCATGTGCCACTTCCAACAGAGTTCTTTGGCCGTTTGTAAATCTACTAGAAATGTTAGATGTTCTTAACTCCCAAAGGTATTTCCAGAATTATGCCTGGATCAGGATTGAGGTAGCATTTATTGCCAAAAAGTAGAAAATCTAGCCCCTGATCCCAAGAAGGCTTTAGTCTTACTGTGAAAAGGAAATATATAAGTTGTGTAGCCAAAGTGGTTGAATAGCAAAGCAAGACAACTGAAATGAACAGTACACACCAGAAAATTGCACAAGGGCAGAGAAGTCAAATAGAGGAATAAAAGTGTCAAAGGGGGAACAGAGGAGCCAATGTTGGTGGGTTGGGGAGATCACTCTGTGTTGATTCATGTGATTTGTGCAGGGCAGTATTAGGAACTAAATTTACAAGAGTAAGTAAGGTCTAGTTATAGTGGGACTTGAACGACAAATGGAAAATCTGAAATTTTATTTATGGGTATGGATATGGAGAGGCAATGAGCTTGAGATCAACAAATATTTTAGCAATAAATATTAATTTGAAGGAAGATTGAAATTGGAGAAGGGTCAGGGAAAAAAAAACATGGTTGATGGTAAGAAATTCTAAAAATTGGCTTCAGTGAACTATTATTCACCCTAAACTCGCCTTAAAATATAAATACTGTGTGACACATTTAATAATTGGTGTATAAATATTTTATATCACATTTTTTACCATACTGACATTCTTTAATCTCTTGCAGAAAATCCATTTGCTGGTGATGTTGTCTCCCCCACGGAAATCAGTTTTACCAACCTACAACCGAATCATACTGCTGTGTACCAGTGCGAAGCCTCAAATGTCCATGGAACTATCCTTGCCAATGCCAATATTGATGTTGTAGGTAAGTAACAGTCTGGGAGCACACTGTTTACTTTCTAAAGGAAGATGTTCAAGGTCATACACACAAGTGGACTGAATTCTCAACATATAAAACATGGGGAGAAACATCAAAGTACCTTTAATCTAGCGTGTGGGCATTAGCCATCCTACTAAAATTAAACTTTCAAAAATGTATTGAATTTGGATATTTTTCTAACTCAAAACCTTATACTGTGTTATTCAGTTGTCTCCCATTTTTATTAATGTGACTAGGATGTAGAAAATTTTAATTTGTGCACATTATTTCTTAATGAACGTTCACAACTGTATTTATGTTATTTTCAAATAGATGTTCGTCCACTGATACAAACTGAAGATGAAGAAAACTATGCTACGGTGGTTGGGTACAGTGCTTTCTTACACTGCGAGTACTTTGCTTCACCCGAGGCCATAGTGTCCTGGTAAGCTGGTACAGGGTTTTCTTAAGAGAATGTCAGTGGTAGATTTCATTCATTGTGTCTTCATCCATCATTTGACGTGCTCGTGTTCCATGTAGCCAATGCCTCTGAGAAATAAGATAGCAAACTTAATTACTTACCTCTCCTGGAATCATTGACCAGATGTGTAGGATTTTCTCACATGGGGAGATTAGGGAGAGCCATTTCTGCTTACAAAGGAAAGCAAAGAATTGAAGTGATTACTGAGGCAATTTTATATAGATAGACTTGGTTTTCATTTTGGGTACATCAAAAGTCGTATATTACAGCTGACCCTTGCCCATTGTGGAGGTTACAGGTTGATCCCCCATGTGACTGAAACTCTGTATATAACTTTTGTCTCCCCCCAAAACTCAACTACTAAAAGCCTACTGTTGACTGGAAGCCTCACCCATAACATAAACAGTTGATTAACACACATTTTGTATGTTATATGTATTACATACTGTATACTTACAATAATAGCCAACTTTCTCTTAACTGTTTTTTCCATATTTCTAGGCTACATAGTTTGTGAGTTTTTTGTAACTGTTGTGTATTTCCAAAAATTTGTCCAATATAGTTACTGAAAGAAAATCCATGTGTAAGTAGACCCACACAGTTCAAACCCATGTTGTCCAGAATTGACTGTACTTTTTTGTGGTTGTTTTGGGTATTTTCTAAATAATTATCTAAGCCTGAATTTGATTCCAAACACATACCCTTAAAACTTTTCCAACGTGTATTTTGAATTTAATTTCAATTTATTGATTGGTGTGACAGTCCAAACACCTGTGTGAATCTGACATATTTGTTACTTCACCAGAAAAGCTTGGATAAACTGTTCTTAAATAAGTCTGCTATTGCTCTACAAGGCCGAGACTAGAGGGTAGATGGGGAGGCAGGGTCATTAAAGTGCAGGCTCAGATCTTTCTTTAAAAATTGGGTATTTTGGGGCACCTGGGTGACTCAGTCATTTAAGCGTCTGATTCTCGATTTTGGCTCAGGTCACAATTTCGTGGTTTGTGAGATCAAGCCCCGCATCAGTGTGTAGCTTGCTTGGGATTCTCTCTCTCTTTCCCTCTACTGTCTGTCCCTCTCCCCACCTCCCCTCTCTAAATGAATTAATAAACTTAAAAACAAGATTTAAAAATTGGATTTTTTGCATTATTTTTATTTTTAAAAATAGTTCATTAAAATGTGATTCATCTTGAGTGCTGAGTTTTTTTGGCCACACTTACATTTTGCTTCTGTGCCTCACTGGCTTTACCCTAATCTCAGCTCTAGAAAGTCCTTTGTGAACAGCAGCCAGAGTTTATGCTTTGATTTTTTTTTTTTTTTTTTTTTTTTTTTTTTTTTTTTGCTCCAGCAGCGTCTTATGTTGAAATGCACTGGATAAATCAAGTTTTGGCAGCAAATGCTTAGAAAATGGATGAATGGAGGAGAAAATGGCTCTGGGTTGATAAGGGTAAATGTAATCCATGTCCACAGGACAGGAACTACTTCCTGGCCTGTAATATTTCTGAATGACCAATGTTTCCCCCAGACGGCAGTAGGTTCAGAAGGTTCATTATCTCTTTCAATTACTAGCTTTCCCATTTAGTACCCTGAAGCAATCATTAACTAAAGAGCTCACCATCAATAAACCAGAAAATATTTATTAAGCTGTGAGGACAGATGCAAAGCAGTCCTCATAGCTATCAGGAATACAGCAGAAGCCTAGAACATGGTCCAGGATTTCCTCTAGCCTATTTGGCTGTTTGGACAAGTATGATATACACCTAGGATAGGACCCATTTGGGGGAAAATATAAACCCTGATGGAACATAAGGTCTTCTGAGCTCCTGGAAGGGCTAAGCTTAAATGACATCAGCAACCAGTTTCAAAAAAGAGTATATAATACTCTCACATCTAAAATGATTTATGCTTTCTATATTCATAGGCAGAAGGTGGATGAAGCAAAACCCCTTGAAGGTAGACGGTACCATATCCATGAAAATGGCACATTGCAGATCAACAAAACCACAGAAGACGATGCTGGCTCATACTCTTGTTGGGTGGAAAATGCTAAAGGAAAAACTGCTGTGACAGCCAATTTGGATATTAGAAGTACTTTTATCTTGTTTTTACTTTGCATGAATTCTCACATAGGTTGTTTGTCCTTTTCCCAAATGAGACAATATGATATAAATTTGAGTGCGTATTAAAATTTTTAGACTGTATTTCAAAACTCCCAGATTATGTTTCATCTGAAAGACCATCACTAAAATTATAGGAAATATTGATGACATGTTCACCTCTTTTTATAATTTTAAAAGGGACCTAAGTGTTTGGGGGATGACCAGCAAGATTTTAAAATGCCCTATTTGGGGGTATTTTTGTAACTATTTTATTTCAATAACCAACTCAACATAATGTCATCAGCAATCAACACTTTGAGCTAAAAGTTTCATGAACTCATCAAACTTCAGCTTCATAAAGACTAGGGCATGATAGAATCAGAAGGGTTTGACAAAACCTCATGAACAGCTTTGTGTTTATTCTCTCTTCAAAACAAAGTCCTGGGTTTCACTGACATTTTGATTTTAAAATTGCTCAGAAAATTCTTTTCAGGAAAACATAATAGGAAGATCCTACAGTGATTGTAGGGAGGATCTGTTTCTTGTGGTGCATCATGATCATGGCCTATCACTACTGCTGCTTAGAGAACAGGGTATATTTGTTCAGTTGTCTGTCTTTACTGATGTGTTTATAATTCTCTGTCTCTCTTCTCACACATACCCTTCCTTCCTTGTTTTTCTTCTGTCTTATATTCTTTTACAGTATCTGTTTCTTTTTGTACCCTAAGTTATCCAACACACCAACCCTGCAGATTATATTTTTAAAGCATGTAAATATACCCCTACTATGTCTGCTTAACTATGATGTCTTCCCCCATATTTAAGTGTCATATACAATTCTCAAAATGCCCTTGTGAAGTCAGTGAAGGTGATTTTTTTAGACTTAATAAAACCAGCCTATATCAGAGTTTAACAACTCAGCCAGATTCAAAGTCAAGGAGAGGGAAGCCTCGAATCCAAATGAATCTTCACATTCTTCTTGCCCAACACAGCACTTGATGCAAAGTGGACCTCAGAACTGCTAATTGACAAAGGGATGGACAAGGCCATGAACTTTTTGTCTGCTCTAAATATCCACTCTATATGTAAGGAATATATAGCAATTTTGTCAATGAAATATAAGAACACAATTTTGCATATAAAAAATGTCAAGAGTTGAATTGAGTAAGAGGCTATCTAGCATAGTGATTGAAAGCAAGAGCTTTGGTCTCTGCCAAATTGAGGTTCAAATTGCAGCTTAAAGCCCTTACCAGTTAGTAAACTTTGGTGTTACTTAATTTCATTTTATCCTTATGTTCCCTGTAAGGTGAAAATATTTATATTTATAGACTTATTATAATTATAAAGTGTTGCATGACTGTGAACTTTATTGCAGAGTCCTCGTAAATAGAATAAATGCTTATTAAGTAGTATCTGTTATTATTAAGTGGATTTCTGACTTTAAATTTAAAAATAGGAATAGATGTTTGATAATTCACTTATAATTAAATTCAATTAAATAGTATCTTCAAGTTTCATGCCTCGGATACCAAATAATCAAATTGTTTTATCACTTTCAATTTCTAATCAGCTCATGGAGTATCATATAGATAGCAAATGTTAAAATGTAATTGTGGAATTGGGGGTGAGCTCATGAGATTTGGCCTCTGAGAAAGTCACCAAATGCCACAGCAGGGTAAAGAACCTTTAGTATGGCCTCTAAGGGTAAGGATCATATGTACATATTTTTTAACTGAGTAGATTGTCTTTCTTTCTTTGTTTCTTTGTTTCCCTTTCTTTCTTTCTTTCTTCTTTCTTTCTTTCTTTCTTTCTTTTTCTTTTTCTTTTTCTTTTTCTTTTTTTTGACAGAAAGAGAGATAGTGCAAGTGGGGGGAGAGGGAGAGGGAGAATCCTAAGCAGGCTCCATGCCCAGTGCTGAGCCCAACTGGGGTTTGATCTCACCATGGTGAGATCATCAACTGAGCCAAAATCAAGAGTCAGACATATAATCAATTAAACCACCCAGGCACCCCTGGGATCATATGTTTTGAAACAGTCATAATGAGCAAATGTTTTTAAGACATCCAAATATGATTCTTTTTAATTTATTTGATTTGAATTTGAATTTAATTTATTTGATATATTTAATTTTGTAGCTACATTTTTGAGCTTCATATTGTTAATACCACTAATACTCTAAATCACTCACCATACCTCATTCAACAAGAAATTCAACAAATATGTGTTGAATGCCTACTGTGTACAGGGTCCCTTTTGAGCTATGGGGAAACTTCCTGTAACAAAACAGACACAACCCCTTCTTCACAGGGCTTATGTTCTCATTTCCCACCTTTATGTTGATAGATCACCCATGTATGGCTTTACCATACCTCTGGTTTCTGAATTATTAATAAACACATTAATAGAAAATCAACTCATTGCCTTTTTTCCCCTTACAGTCCTTTGATCACATGACCAAAAGCACTAGAAGGAGAAATCATATTTTTTCAGCATCTAGAGACATTTATTTCGTCACACTCTTCTTACTCTTTGGCCCAAGAAGTGGTACGGGGAATTTCTAAGATATTAATTAGTACTTCCACTCTAATTTCTCAGATGTTTGGGCCTGATGGAAAGAAAATAGTAGTGAAATATGATGTTAAGAAATTACAGTGCAAAAAAACATTGCATGAAGATATGACTATTACGTTGACAATTTTGGTTGATTAAATTGCAGGCACTTGATTACGAAGTAAGCTGTGATTTATGGTTCTAACGAGTCTCTTTGTTCGGTAAAAACAGATGCTACAAAACTTCAAGTTTCTCCTAAGAATCCTCGTGTCCCCAAATTGCATACACTTGAATTACATTGTGAGAGCAAATGTGACCCATATTTAAAACATAGTTTGAAGTTGTCCTGGAGTAAAAATGGAGAAGGCTTTGAAATTAATGCCACAGAGGATGGCAGGTAGGTACAGTCTTATGCTGTGTCATCATATTTGGGATTAACACCTAGCACTTGAAAAACAAATAGTTGTAAAAGTATTCACGCTGAATTAAAATATAAAAACTGATTAATTCATTTCAGTCTTCAAGGCAGTATTTATGTATTTATTTTTAATATTTATTTTTGAGAGAGAGAGAGCATGTGCTCACGAGGGTGGGGAAAGGGCAGAGAGAAAGGGAGGGGCAGATAAAGGGAGACAGAGGACCCGAAGCAGACTTTGTGCTGACTGCAGAGCCTGATGCTCTCTCGAACTCACACACGTGAGATCATGACCTGAGCCCAAGCTGGACACTTAGCTGGCTGAGCCACCTGGGGGCCCCAAAGTCTTGGCATCAGGGCAGCGTTTGAAAGGTAATACAGTGCACTGTTTGGGTTTTCTTTCACATAGTTATCTTCTTCTGTTTGCTACTGACTTTTAACAGAATGTGTACCTTGCTGTTAGTGCATGAAATAGAGTCCGTTCCAGATGTGTGAGACAGAGGTACTGCATGAGTGTGCATGCTTACCAAACCACTGGGAAGACTGGGAGAGATGGGCCTAACGGAAGCTGCTTACTAAACTTTTGGGTTCTTTGTCACATAGAACTGCAGCTGTAATCCAGAGGTCTGAAAAATGCTGCTCTTTACAGCCACCTCACGCCACTGGTGCTGGCAGTGACATCAACCAATGCCAGCTCTTGGGTCTTCCAGAGTCGCTGTCTGCTCACAGGGACCCAGAGGAGGCACTCCCCATCACCCTTTTACATCCCAAACTCAGATGAGTCTATCTCATTGGCAGAACCTAAATAATACCTACAGTCCTTCCAGTTAGAATGTACAGACAGCTATGCTTCTAAGCCTCCTAATCTCTGTGTAGAGAATGTAAAGTTCTCTACTTTACATTCTATATATTTAGAAAGTAAAATATATAGAAGAGAGACTGTAGAAGGAAGTGTGAATAGATGCTGGATAGCATCAGACAATATTGAATAGCATCGGACAATATCAGAGTCCATCAAAGAGAGAAAAGACTCAGCATTTACTGAATGCCTGTGCTATGTTTCAAAAGCATGTAGAGGTTAGCTCTCCTGCCTTTTGCATAGTGACTAGTAGGGGTTAAAAATAGACCATCCTTAGCCAAACCTCCCCTGCAGTTTTGTGTTGTTATTCATGATTCTGAAAAAGTAAACCTGAAGATAGTTTGTGCATTCCTTTGGTGAGACTGCGGCCGTGTGGTGAGTAAGAGCGTGCGCTCTGGAGTCCAGCAGCCTGGATTTAAATCTCATCTCGTTCACTTATTGTGTCTATGACTTTAGACAGGCTCCCTAACTTCACTGTGCCTTAACTTTACATTCTAAGATACCTCCACAGGGTTATCATGAGTTAACATTCCAAGCACTTAGAAAATACTCAGTCCAATTTAGTGATCATGATTTGTACTAATTTCTCCAGACATTTGGTTTATCTCATTTCTCTGACATGCTTGGCCCCTATTGGTGTGTGTGTGTGTGTGTGTTTGTGCTTACACCACCGCTATGCAGAGGCATTGGTCTCAGCTAGGTACTTAATTTATTCCATCTCATCCTTCCCGTATATATGAATTTGTGGAAAGGAGCATATGTATTGGAACTGTTGTCGCTGAAACAAGAGGAGATTAATTATTGACCTAAAAGACTATATATTGCGACAGAGATCTTCACCCTTAGGTTAGGTCTTAGTCAATCTGTCAACTGCTCAGATCTCCCCATATTCTCCCTCTTTTGTCACTGCTGCCTAGTTACCTGGTGTCTTCCATATAACCTCCAGGCTTCAGTGATGAAGGGAGTCAGAGACTCGTGCCTTGTGGGTGATGTGACCTGCATATTTAGGCCCTGATCCCAGAAACTCCAGCCATCCTCTGTATGGCCGAGTTTAATAGGTTCTGCAGGATGCTGAGGCTGACACTCAAATGAACCTCTGGCTGTCTTAGCAAACTAAGCCAGTGACACAGATATTCTGCCGGTATTCCCTAGGGCATGGGTGAGCAACAGTAACCTCAGCTAGAATTTCTTAGAAGAGATCACTGGAGTGGAGAAGGCTGGGAGTAACTCTTGCTGTTGAGGTTGGCTGGGGCCAGGAGCACGCATGGACATCTAGCAGGGAGCAGAGATCACAGGTCTCGGTTAAATTTCAAGGGAACCATTAGGAAGCTTCTGTCTCTCACTTTCTGCTGGGACACCTTCTCCTTACTGGTAGGCGAGGGGCCTGAGACTTTTATCTAGAAAGAGGTTAAATGAGTTTTACATCAGAAACGTCAATTACCCCTCTTTGGGTGAGCGCAAACCGTGCTTCTGGTGAGCCCCTCTTCTCTCTCTCTCCCTCTCTTTCTCTGCCCCTCGCTCACTTGTGCCCTCTTTCTTTCAAAAATACAAAAGAAACGTCAGTTGTATGAGTTTCGCTCCTTCTCTGCAAACACATTATTTATCTCAACTAAATAGCAAAAGTCTTTAAATATAATTGATATTTAGTGGAACTTAATTTTTCTAAAAGTGCTTAAATAGTTAAGTTGACAGTACATAGGTATAGGGTAAAAAGTGTAATTTATAGTAAGGAAATTTCCATGTAGTAAACCGGATTACAAATTGGCAAAATAGGGCGAATGATAAAAAGCTCGGTGCAAATGATTTGCAAAAAGAAGTGCTAGTCTGCCCTCTACTGTTCAAATAAATTTCATGGTTTAATTGTTATCTGATCTATTGGATGTGCATTGTGCTAGGGGAGTGGACGGGTGGAGAAAGGCAATCTTGTCAAAAACAGATGGTCAGTCTCTGTGTCAGACAGTCTGACTCTGTAGATCTGGGGGGTGATTCAGGAATGTCCCTTTGGAAGAAGCCCCCAGTTGATCCTATGTAGGTGATTCCCTTCACAAACCTTAAGAATTATTCAGATGTATCTTAGCTATTATAATGAATAATACAGTCTTCAGAAACACCAGGCAACACAGTTGTGTCACTGCACCATGCATCACAGATGGTTGGAGTTGATAATTAAAACAAAACAAACGGATCCCTTTCATGGCTGTGTAGACAGTTGTGCATGCTCCAGTAACCCCATGTCCCCAGTTTTACCTGTGGCACTCTCTAATAAAATTTGCATTATGTGAAGGTGTGTGTGTGTTTTTTTCTTTAACTCTTCCTTGAATATTTTTATAGGGAATATATATTTTTGAATATATATTTCTGCTGTTTCTGTTGTTTTCATCCTCATCATATACTCATTTATTTTTACTGGTAGGATAACTATCGATGGACCTAATTTGACCATATCTAATGTCACCTCAGAGGACCAAGGTATTTACTCTTGTTCAGCTCAAACTGCCCTGGACAGTGTTGCTGATGTAACTCACGTAACCATTCTCGGTAAGTGCACTACTAATGGGAAATGTCTGTTCATTTCTTTCTTGTTACGAATTAAATTCCATTGTTCTTAGACCATTAAATCAACAATTACTTGAGCCCCTGTACATATACTGTTAGTTTGAATTTTTCATTTAAATAGTAACTCCACTTTCAAATGCTTTCTCCTCTTCTGGCTTTAAAGAAATTAATTAATGCTTAATTTCTTTTCCCTGCATGGTAATGTTTCCAGTAGCAGTGGGAGGTTGGTGATGCTATCAGCAGAAAGAAAACTGAAGCACGCTTGAGTTGTCAGGGCATTTGAGCTACCCTTTCCTAGCATGCAGAGAAAATACAGCTGAGGAATGGAGATGGGTTTTGTGGAGGGATCAGGCTGGGAGTCCCATGGTGGTGGCACAATGGTCATGCCCTAAACCAAAGGCAGGGGCTAAGTTCTCAGGGTTCTGGGAAGGGTGTGGAGGAACTTCAAGAGTTCTACAGAGGAATGCCTTTGATTTTTTTTTTTATGATAATGCTAATTAGAAAAGAATGTACTCCTCCGGTTACCCATGGTTAAAGCTCTTAGAACATCTTAGAACATTCTGGTGCATTTCTTAGACCACCTTTAGCTCTTGAACCATCTCTTAGACCATCTCTCTTCCAGTTTCCTTGCCAGATTCACTCCCCATAAGCTATCTGATAGGGAAAGCTGACTTACATGGATAATATCAGCGAACCACTTACCCTCAAACTTCCATTTGTTTCAACCAATGGGAAGCCCTGGCAATAGACGAGGGTGGGTGTATTTATTCTCCATATTCCCTCCCTGCAGGCTGACTGTGTTCATTGTCATTGATTCCTCCCAGGGAGGCTCTTTCCACAAAATCCTCTCTGATGAAATTCTATTAACTGCTCCCTCCACCCCTCACTCCATATATTCTGCCTACATCTTTTGAAAGAGTTTTTTTTCTAAAAACTCTTGGCACTATCCAAATTGTGTGAACTATTGCATTTCTGCTGGGACCCTGACTGATAGAGACCTTTTTTAAAAATAGTTTTCTGTTACAATTTTTCCCCCTGTGGGAACCATTTAGTCTTTCTTCCAGTTTGCTGATATTCCTTTAAAGTGTTTGATTTTGCCTAACTCCTTTATTACATATGTAGATTAATGATTATTAGTAACAGGATTTGTATCTTTAGCTCTCTGGTTGCTGGAATCCACAGGTAGATTGCTAATAGAGTATCCAGGATGAGAGGAAATAATTCAGTGTATTTGGAGGTAGGATGTGAAAAATGACTAAACATGCTAGATCTCTTCAAGAGAAGCAAATATATATTTCAAGGGAAATAAATGACCATCATGTTTAAGTGAAACAAAGGGTCATCAGACTGGGTTCTACACACACATACACACACACACACACACACACGCACACGCACACACACACATACACACGAGTTCCCAAGTGGTAAAGGGTATGGACTTGGTTCAGTAGAATTGTACCTTTAGGTGAGATGTTTGGTCATAGGAATTTAGCTACTTCAGGGGTTTGCACTCAGAAAGGCCCAACCCTCTAGTAGTTAATCCACTAGTGAGTCATCAGATAAAATAGTTGAGCTTCAGGTAAAGTAGAGTTTGTCTCAGGCACTGCAAGTGTAGGAGAAAGTTTCAGAATCCTTGGACTTTTTCCCTAAGTATCTTAAGCAATGGAGCCAGCTAAGGGATTGGGACACCATACCACTTGCTGCATGCTGTCCAAAGCTCCTTATAAAATTTAATATATGAGTCATGTGATTAGGCTACTATCTTCCAAAACCATTAGATTTTGATAATTTTAAATAGAGTTGCTGTGATCACATGTAATACTTACATATGAAGTTTTTAACCAATTTTCTAAGAATAAAAATAAATTCATTTAAAAAATATTCTATGACAAGATTGCACTTTCTTAACCACTTCTTGGAGGTTACCTTCTAGTATTTGAAGCCAGTCCCTGGTGTAAAGAAGCATATCTCACTAACTGATGGTAACAAATAGATCCCTGTGTAGTTTAGAGAAACTTCTTTTCCCCAGAAAATAATTTTTGAAAAGATATGCTTGACCTGTTGCAATCAGAAGTAGCTGTCCTTGATCTAACTGTCCTTTAACTATATCAATCTTTTAAGTATCAACTGCACTCCATCAATTCTAATTCCATATGCTTCTTGGAAAGAGCAGATTTTAATGTCAGATGCTACAGTCTGTATTGGTTGCTTTAGGTAAGTTGAAAAATGAGTGAGCTCTTAAGAAGTGTTGAAGAGAAATGTAAATTCTCTGAGCTCACAGATCTGAAACCTGTTGAGGAAATAATTTCTTATTTAAGGCCCTGAAGTTTGCATAGTCACTGACTGCATTTTTAAAATAAAATAGTCTCTTTTGAATAAAAAACAATGTTTTTTTTGCCAGTGTAAATTTCCAGAAATTGGTAAATACTCACAGGGGCATAGATGATGCCTCCCACTTGGGGAATAAGGAGCCCATGGGAAGGTCCTAAGAGATATTACTTAATTGTCTCCACTGAGAAAAGACAAATGTCCCTGGGTACAAGAGAGAATTGAAATCAAATTTCAGAAGTAAAGACCATTAGGGATAAGTTTGGTTTTTTGTTTTGTTTCACTCTTCCTTTATTTTGATAAACATTTCCATGGACTGTAACACTCAAAGTCAACACCTACTCTTAGTATCCAAAACCTATAAAGAACTTATAAAACTCAACACCCCAAAAAATGAATAATCCAATGAAAAATGGGATGAAGACTTGAATAGACATTTTCCCAAAGAAGACATCCAGATGGCCAATAGACACAGGAAAAGATGCTCAACATCACTCACCCTCAGAAAATGCAAATCAAAACTACAATAAGATATCCCCTCACACCTGTTGGACAGGCTAAAATTAATACACAAGACACAACAGGTGTTGGTGAGGATGTGGTAAAAGGGGAACCCTCTTACACTATCGGTGAGAATGCAAACTGGTACAGCCATTGTGGAAAATAGTATGGAGATTCCTTAAAAGGCTAAAAATAGAACTACCCTACAATCCAGCAATTGCACTACTAGGTATTTACCCCCCAAATACAAAAATACTCATTCAAAGGGATACATGCACTCCAGTGTTTATAGCAGCATTACCTATAATAGATTACAGAAAAAGCCCAAGTGTCCATTGATTGATGAATGGATAAAGAGGATGTGGGGTGTGTGTGTGTGTGTATGTGTGTGTACACACACACATACACACACACACACACTGGAATATTATCAGCAATAAAAAAGAATGAAATCTTGCCATTTGGAATGACATAGGTGGAGCCAGAGTATTAAGTTAAGCAAAATCAGTCAGAGAAAGACAAATACAGGATTTCACTCGTATATGGAATTTAAGAAACAAAAAAATAAGCAAAGAGGAAAAAAAGAGAGAGAGGAAAAACCAAGAAACAGACTTTTACCTATAGAGGGCAAACTGATGGTTACCAGAAGGGGGGTGGGCAGGGGGACAGGTGAAAAGGTGAGGGGACTAAGGAGTGCACTTGTTGTGATGAGCACTGGGTGATGTATGGAAGTGTTGAATCACTAAGTAATACACCTGTAACTAATATTACACTGTATGTTAACTAACTGGAATTTAAATACATTTTAAAGTTAAAAATTTTTAAATTAAAAAAAAATCATCACCTACTCAATTTTCTAGTCTGTGACATATTTATTGGTGCCAGATTTTTCTCTTCCAAGAAAAACAGACTTCCTACTCTTTTTCAGAACTCTAGGCCAAGAGAGTATAAAAGTTGCTGTTATATACTGAGAATTTATTGTTAGAAATTACAATTAAAATCCAGAGCATACAAAAAAGAAAGCCTGAGTTCATGTTCTTTATCTTATTTTCCTATAGTCATAGAACCTAATTTTATTGCTCGAATGTGGTAATTGCATGCATGATTGAAGTGATATTATACTTTTCACTTACTCATTTAGTCACAAAACATTTATATGCAAAGCACTGAGGGTGATGCAAATATTAATAAAATGCAGTCCCTATAACTCTTGAAGATCTGTCATATTCAGGAAATGAATCAGGTACATAAATAAACATATGAGCAGGAAGATACTGATCCTCTTGAGATAGATCATGTTTCTCAAAATTGCACATAATGGGAATGCAGGGCAACTGCTTAGAAATGAAGATTCCTGGGCCCAGCTCCGTCAGTAAGCCAGAGAGACAGGGCCCAGAAACAAATCCTCATTGTTAATATCTACTTCTGAAAGAATGTTTATGATCATGGTGTAGGATGCCCTTTGAGAACTGGCATCAGAGGGAAGGGAGAGAGTGTTTATGGTAGGGAATATATGTGCAGGAAGCTGCATTTGAAGCAGAACTGGAAGGGCTGCTGAGATGTGGACAATTGGGTGTGGAGACCTGGGCCTGGAGAGAAAGAAAGGGGGCTGGCAATGTGCCTCAGGGAGAAAATTGAGTGGACAAAGCCACGATCTGCACTCTCCTTACCTTAAATTTTTTTTATTGTTAATTAGATGTTCCGGATCCACCAGAAAACCTACACTTGTCTGAAAGACAGAACAGGAGTGTTCGGCTGACATGGGACGCTGGAAATGATCACAATAGCCGTATTAGTGGTAGGGAATACTATGTTGGGGTAACTATGTTCCTGAAGCTCCTGAGTCACAGTTAATATTAAGGCCATTTTTTTTTTTACCACAGTTCTAGATTATCCTTCTTAAAATATTTTTTCAAACTTTTTTTATGTTTATTTACTTATTTATTTTGAGAGAGAGAGAGAGAGCATGCATGTGCACAAACTGAGGAGGGGCAGAGAGAGGGAGAGAGAGAATCCCAAGCAAGGTTCTCACTGTCAGTTTAGGGTCCAACCCAGGGCTGGAACCCACGAACTGTGAAATCATGATATGAGCTCAAATCAAGAGTTAGATGCTCAACAGACTGAGCCACCTAGGCTCCCCATCCTTTCAGACTTTTTATATTGTATGTAAGTGTTATTATAACTTAAACATACTAACTCCATTCTAATTTTTACTTTTTCTTATGCTTCTACTGCCAGAATACATTGTTGAATTTGAAGGAAACAAGGAAGAACCTGGAAGATGGGAGGAACTGACTAGAGTCCAAGGAAAAGAAACAACAGTCATATTATCTTTGGCTCCATATGTGAGATATCAGTTCAGGGTCATAGCCGTGAATGAAGTAGGGAGAAGCCAACCTAGCCAGCCATCAGATCATCATGAAACACCTCCAGCAGGTATGTGAGTTCTCACATCAGGTTTTGAAATATTTTGAAAATATTTTGAATATTTCAAAATAAAATATTTCAAAATATCATCAGTTTCAAAATATTTTAGTTTTGTCCCATCTTTCAACATATGAAACAACAAATTGATACTATGGTGTAGGGTTTTAGATATCTCCTAATAGACAGCTTGAAAAGTTCTGCGAACTAACAGCACACAAATATCCAAAGTACATCAGATTAAAAAGTAGTATATGCATGTTTGATAGCAGGAAATTACAAGGAGGTATACGAGCAAACATTACTTTGAATTATCTGTGATAGGTAAGTATCATGTTAAAATCAGGTATCAAGTATGTTATAAACTGAATGTCAGTATATAGAAAATCAGCTTTCTCCCTTTATATTCCTTTTTATTTAAATTTTCTGAAATAAAACAGTTGATTCATTGTAGTCACCTTGTTAACATTTTCTTCTAATGTTTATTTTTGAGGGAGAGAGAGAGAGGGGGGGAGAGAGCATGAGCACAAGTGGGTGAGGAGCAAAGAGAAAGGGGAACAGAGGATCCAAAGTGGGCTCTGAGGTGACAGCAGAGAGCCTGATGTAGGGCTAGATCCCACGAACCATGAAATCATGACCTGACCCCAAATCAGACACTTAACCGCCTGAGCTACCCAGGTGCCCCAACACTTGAAAATATCTAGGACTGCTTGAGTGGTCATAACAGTGACATTATTATTTTTTCCCCTGGGCAAAATAAATACGCGAGGGTATAGCTTCCTTTTTGGATTGAGGAAAAGCAAGAAGAGATAGTAACTGAATCACACATACGTGTGTGATTTAAGTGTAAGTTGCATTTGGCACTAAAACTACACTTAGCCCTTTCTTATGAAATGGAACCATCTGAATATATTTCATGGGCACATTACCTGCTCTTTCCTATTTGTTGTCCCTAACACTGGGCTGTTGAAATTAAGACATGGTGTTTGTCTGTTAAGATGGAAATATTCACAGCACACATTACTAACAGTAATTCTAATAGGAAAAGGAAAGGTTTAAAATTAAAATGTATGTTTAAAAAGTAGGTTTAACATTTGGGGATGCCTGGGTGGCTCAGTCAGTTGAGCATCCGACTCTTGATTTCAACTCAGGTCATGCTTTGAGGGTCATGGTATTGAGGCCTGTATCAGGCTCTGTGCTGAGCATGGAGATTAAGATTCTCTTAATCTTAATCTGATTAAGATTCTCTTAATCTTTTTTTTTTTA